AAAAAAAAACAATCATTCAGACTTCACCTCATGGAGCCCTTGGCGATGACAGAGCAAGGGGATCACTAACATGCCTTGTGAAAACAATGGCTGCTTCTGTTCAAAGCAAATCCCCATCCTCCTAAAGAAATCTGCCTTTGACCCAGTCACCAGCAAAGACCTACTACTCTGGGCTGAGGTTTTTTCCAGAACCTGCCAGATAAGAGCACATTCCAGCACTGCTGGGGGGCGGCCTAAGACCAAACTCCGCCCCAGCAGTGACAATGCTACAGTAGCGATGGGAGCCAATACTACAAAGGGTTTTTTTAAGTAAGCAAATAAAGAAACAGATATAAACAAAATATAAGCAAAGCTCTGGCAAAAGTTCTTAAGAGTGTCAATGATTTTTCTGGCCAATTGGCCAAAAGTGTATAACTCAAAAAAAAAATTAAAACACTACTTCATGCACTGCAACATTATGTAAGTTCAACTTTAAAGAATTTTAACGTCACAGATTCTGCTCCAAAAAAACCACAATATACAGAATTTAACGAAACACTTCCATATTAAACACAGTACTTTATACAACAGCTATTACATCAACAAAGCGAGTCAACTGTAGTTCAATACTAGAACACCAAAAGACTCACAAGGAAAATGTGCTGTGCCATCAAACCCACGATCTTCCACTCTGTAGGTCATTCAAGGTGATATGTACTGCGTACACTGGATATTAAGTGCACAAGTTTTTTTTTAAATGGCATGTAAAGGAATGAAAAAGGTAAACTTGTCTTTGGCCACAAATTCAACCAATAACTGAGAAGGGCTCATATTTAATGACACTTTTATAGGTTATAGGTTTTATAGGTTAGCTGGGGTATTACTGTCAGTTTCATTAGTCATACAAAGCTGTAGACCCTTGTCAAATGTTGCACATACATAAATATTTATGTATATTACAAAATATACATGAAAGTATCTCATGTATGTTCATAAGGATGTTTCTTAAAATCTATTTGTACACATTCAAAAATAAAAAGAAACTCTTAAGCAACAATTTCTCAGAAAATGAGAAATAAGAGCTGGCTCATGCTTGTCAAGTTTTTCGACGTTCCTGTCCCTGTGATGGGGGGGCATGACACTCTCTCTCTCAGGAGCTCCCTGATTCTGAAACTCCTGCTGGCCACAAGTAGATCCACAAGCACCCTAGTGATATGGTACCAGGTCCAGCTTTATCCGTCCAGGAGCGGGATGCAGGGGTGCCGAGCTTGAGCTACTGGCCAGATGAGAGGGTCGGGGACTGGGCCAGACCACTGGTCAGTGGCACGGTGTTGGAAGGACTAGCTCCGCTTTTTAGCCGACAATGTGGACGAGGCATTGGGAAGTTGGACGTTAAAATGGATGGATGACCTCTAACGTAACACTGTGCGTGAGGGAACTGCACTATGTAACCAACGGCAACGACACCGATTTCTTAAGACTTCTACACGACCTGCACTTGCAGCTTGTCTGAGAGGGAGAGAGAGAAAGAAAGAGAATGACAGAGGCGAGCCCAGTCGTGCACACCCATCACTCAATCCTGTGGGGAGATGACACAGTTTGACCCCATTGACCTCTGGGTCGTCCAATCACAGGACAGGATATATGCTGGGAGACATTGGGGTGGGGAGGACAGGTGGTTTGAGGGGAGGGGTCGTGTGGGAGGGGACTCTGTCATGGGGCCATCGCCTCTGCTTCGCTCTCATCCCCAGCCATGTAGATGGGGCTCTTGCCTCTAAGGATGGCCTCAGGGCTCTTGGTTGAGTTCCTCACAGCTTCTGAGCTGTTCCAGATCCCATAGGTGAAGTATATGACAAACCCTGGATGAGGTTTTGAAACACACTCAGTAATTTTATTACACTTCACTCCAGACAGTGATGATTACTTTCATTTGTTAATTACTGTTAAATAAATGCATAGAATGATTTGGGTAGCATTGTGGGTAACACTGCCTTGTACCATGTGCTTCTTGGGAAGACTCCAGCTTTCCATGGGCTTCTACTGGATAAGCGTTTGGAAAATGTATGGATAGATTGCGGGTAATGCAAGTTCTCATTATCGGGAAGGAGTCTGGAGCCTTCAGACTTAAGGCTAACCAATCAGATTGTAGAGGAAGTGGGGACAACCAATCAGATGGGTCCACCTCTTCTACAATCTTATTGGTTATCTCTCTGAACCAATCATTTTTTGTTCTGCCCTCAAAATATATTGGAGTAAGTAAAACTTCCACAAGCAAACTTAATGCAGGGTGATAAGACATCATACAACATGTAAGACGCTGCAGTTGCGAAAATGGCCACAGGGAACCACTCACCCATGATCATCCACACAGCAAAACGACACCAGGTGGCCCAGTCCAGCTGCATCATCAGGTAGATGTTGACAAACATGCTGACCAGTGGCAAAACAGGAAGCAGGGGCACCTGATTTGGGGGGGGGGGGAGTAAATGGTAAAGAAAACACACATGGAAGAGGAAAGCACCCTACAGGTGAGGTGGAATGAAAAGGTGACCCCTTTGGATACTGAAGGGGAGGATACCTTAAAGGTGAGAGCCTCCCTGCTCTGTGGCTGCCTCCAGATGACCAGCAAGCAGAAGGCAGACAGCAGGGCCAGGATGCCACACAAACTCAGCCACGCAGGCTGGCTGCTCATGCTGCACAGGGCCAGCACTACACACAGCAGTGTGAAGAACACACCTGCAGGGGGCGAACAAGAGCTGTCAGAAACCCCCCACCCTTACATCCCCCTCATTAATGAGATGATGCAGTTTTGTGGCCGGATGGGGTTGCCATAGCAACATGCCAACGGCACGCGCACACACACACACACACACACGTGATTGAGCCTCTGCACTAGAAAAAATTACCTATCAGATCTTTAACTACAAGCCTCTAAACATCCTGATTTCCTTTACATAATCATGTTACTATTTTTTTAATGATAATCTAATAACATGCCCATTAATTTGCTGCTACTGTGTTTCACCACAGACACAGTGTTGCTATGTGGCCAATAAGTCTCCATTGAAGCTGGGAAAATTGTTTGTTGACCATGTCTCAGGGGGTGGGGGTGGGGGGGGGGCTATTGCCTCATTCGATTGCCGGGTTTGGGGTCTGACTCACAAACGGCTGCTGTGGCCACGTAAACGATGAGGCCCGAGGTCTTGGTGGGTGACTCAGAGTCCGGCTCTAACAGCAGCCTTAGGGAGAATCTCTCCTTCACCGGCAGTGTCTCCAACTCATCGCTGCTGTCTCCCGGTGTCATAGGGGCTCTTTCCACCAGCACCTCCGGCTTCTCGCTGGGCCTGTGCGCACCCAGGCTGCCGGGTTGGTACCTGTCCAAAACAGAGAATGTCTTATTCTATCACCTATCTACTTACCCATCTCCACTTGCTCCACTTTATACTGATGCTGTGAATCAGGACTACTTCCTTGTGGTAGAAAAAAATGATTTATGCTCCTGGAGCTCAACAAACACAGCACTGAGATAGCCATACAAAGGTCATAGGTTCAAATCCCAAGGAGCGGACATAAATTACAAACCACCCTTCTACTGTATTTTTTGGACAAAAGCATAAGATGATTGAATAAATGTAAACTTCAAGATGAAAGCTGAAAAATGAGGTGTTTGGACACGCGGCATCCGGCCTGACTTACCGCAGGATGAGCACGCAAACAGCCACCAACGTATAAGCCAGCAGGGTGCCGATGGACATCAAATCCACCAGTGCAGCCAGGTCAAACAAGAAAGCCATCAGAGCTGGGGTGGGTAGAGGTGGAGGTTCAACACACTGTTTACACAAGCCTAGGGAAGTACGGCGGTGAGAGACCTTTCTGGAATAACAGATACAGGCAAAGGACAGAGAGTGGCTGGTGGACCGGATTACAAAAATAAGAGATGGGGACCAATGTGAAACGGGACGCTATACGTCAGCGTGACTCCACATAACCGGGGACAAAGACCTGGAGGAAACCCTGCGTGCAAAAGTATTCCAAACATCCTGCATGCACAAAGAAAAACCAACAACAAACGCAGGGTGGAATTAGGCTGACCGAGAGGCACACAGTCCTGTGTCCACCTGAGGTCAGTGCCCTGAAAGATTCAGCGCAGTATAAAACCTGAAACACCCAGCACATCAGCCCGGGGGGGGGGGGGTCTCCTTAGCTAGCTGATCATGAACATTAACATAGCAACTAGGAACAATAATAGGAAATGAATAATCATGCAGTTAAACCTAAATTAAAGTTATACCTAATACTGTAAAACACAAAGTAAACTAGAAGAAGGTAATAAACAGATATCCAGTCTGGAAGAGGCACCGAGCAGAGACTGGCTCAGCCGGGTTCTGACACCAGCACCGGCAGACCAGAATCAACATGACAGACAGACCTGGGCAAACAGCAAGGTTCTGCTCTGCAATCGCCATGAGAAAGCAGAGATGGACACAGACGTGAACTTCATGATATGATGTGCTAACAAACCCCCCCGTCCTGGACAACTGAAAATATTTTATTACATCCAGCAAAAAAAAGTGGTTCACTCTAAAGTCTCTGCCAGAGACACTGACTATCCCTGCTGGGGAGGGACAGTGATGTCCAGTATATACCTGCCTGTCACAGCCTGGGGGGGGGGGCACCACACAGAATAGCCAGAATATACACCCATCTTTGAGAATGCTTGATTGAAAGATTTATCAGTTCAAGTTTTTAACATAGATTGTAATTTTTGAGTGATTCTGTGCCAAAGAAGCTGAATTTCAGAGAGAAAGAGAGAGAGACAGAGGGAGAGAGAGAGAAGAGTCTCAGGGTTACCTGCCACAAAGCCAGAGACCAGGGTAGCCAGCAGTGGAGTCTTCGTCTTCTTGTTCATGCGAGACAAGAAGCGAAACAAGAGGCCGTCCTCCGCCATAGCGTAGATCACCCGGGGCATGGGGAACATAGATCCAAGCAGA